GATCAGTTTCCTTTCATCAAACTTTTAGGGATAAAAGTCTGACATAGCCATGACACAAAGCAAGCTGCAGTTATTGCTCCTTCAAACATTCCTAGGAGGACCAACATCACTCCGCCAGTAGTTTTAATAAAGGGGTCAGAACCTAGCTCGGGTAAGAAGTGACTTCTATTATTCTGAAATCCTGGTATGGGCTGTAAGAAAGGGTGTCTCCCAGGCCCCAACTCCCAGGTTTCCTTAGAGGAATGCACACCACCCATCCACCCTCCAACTCCAAGCACACAAGTGTCCCTCCCTACTGCCCATCACACTCTGCCCACAAAGGTTACCAACATGTCCTACTCAGGTGAATTTCAAGGCTGTGGGTGTCCCCTAAATCTGGCATCCAGAACAGGATTCTGCATATGGTATAGACTCTTGATTGGTGTGGACCTTGAGACTCTCAGCCTATGACCTCTTTCCCCCAACTGGACAGGTGGAAAGTGGCCTGATTTTGGTCTAGACCAGAAAAAGTCAAACTGGCCATGAGGTCTGGGTCCTCATAGACATACAGACTCTTTGCTGTCCTGGAAAAACTACTGTGGCTCTTGGAGTGGGATTGGCTATGAGGAAGGGACCCTCTCTATATTTTCTGGTTATTTTGCAATCTAACTTCTTAACCTCTTCGCTTTCTCCATCAGCCCCACCTGCTCTCAGATCTTTTCCCTCATACCCTGGATATTGTGCTCTCTCTGTTGACCCCTCTACAAACCAAGACCTGCCATAGCACACATTTTAATACAGCCATTTAGGAGGGAGACAAGTTTGAAGTATAAAAATCAATTATGAGGGGCTGGGGATGTGGTTCAAGCGGTAGCATGCTTGCCTGGCATGCGTGCAGCCCAGGTTCAATCCTCAGCACCACATTCAAAGATGTTGTGTCCGCCGAGAACTAAAAAATAAATATTTAAAAAATTCTCTCTCTCTCTCACTCTCTCTTTTAAAAAAATCAATTATGAAAGACTTTTTTTTTCATAAAGAAATGCAACTTTATTATTTTCAAGTACATATGTAGTACCTCAAACTAATGCCTTACAAAAGGTCACCAGTAAAGACCTTGTAGATGTTTCTTTAACAATTATGTCAGGATTGATGATAATTAGCCCATGCATTTGCTACTTCTAAATGGATGTTCTTAAAGTGCCTGAAAAGTATTGTTTTAGGGAGAGTAAATATACCACTCCTAGCAATATTATTGATGCTCTTAATTTACTAAACAAAATGCCGTATTTATTGATTGTGCAAGATGAACTTTTGTCCACAGTCAATAATTTCAAATTAATCAGACCCAGATAAATATGGTTTCCCATTCAGATTTCCAAGCCCAAGGCCATGACTCACTTATTTCAAGGTGCTTCTGATAAAACAAACTTCCAGTGCAATGAAATGGCAGCCGTTGGCAGTCTGTTTACAGGCCTGACCTAATGTTTGTCTTTTGTGCTTCCTCCCTTTCTGCCTTAGGCCGCTCATTTCCCCTAGGCATCTCTCTCTCTCTTTTGCGTGGCTCAGGTAGGTGACCCTGTGCATTCCCAATGCCTTCTGAGCCAGGCTTAGAGAAGGGGCAGAGGTGCCTGCAGAGCAAAAACGTTAAATGGGGAGGGAGTAAAGAAAAACTCTACCATAGAAACATTGAAACCAACTCCCTGTCTCCAGGGCAGTGGGCCCAGTGATCATCAGTGTGAAGGGCGCTTGCCTGGGAAGAGTGTCCCTGCCAACCAAGAGGTCAAAGGCAAGTTTCTTAATATTTTCCCTCTTGATGTCCAAAGGTTCTGGCCATGTCATGAACTATGCTGATTCTGTGTGTCCCCGAAAGACAGGAATGTTCTGGGAACTTGTCCACCCCAATTCCAGCCACTGGCCAGGGAATGCCTCTTCCAGGGCTGGCTTGGCAGGGCCAGGGATGACATGGTTTCATCAGGACGGGCAGAAGGGGCAGAGAGTGGAAAGGCTGGGAGAGAACTGGCAGCTGTCTGTGGTCTCAGAGCACAAGCCGTGACCAGAAACTTAGGGGG